ATGGAGAAATATTTTAAATGTACACCCTGTAGCCATAATTATATTGAATTACATCAAAAGTTTCCTTCACAAAATGTGTTTTTCTTCAAAAGGAAAGTAGAGCTGTACAGTATGGAGTGGCAAGATGCTGTGGATTTATCCCGGTTTATTGTGAGTGCGGCACCTTTTGGTGGTCCAATAGGTAAGTACATCAGACTCCTTCTAAGTGTTTTTTAACCCACAGGGTGTACAGAAAGGATTTCATCTTGCATTTATCTTATGGTAAATAGCCCCCCCCCCCCCTTAGGGTGAAAGTTTAACCCCATAAACCCTGAGATTAAAATTTGAATCCTCATTTATTGCCCCTATTCATTTCCTATAGAAGTAGTGGGGAGAGGTTGATAAAATATGAAGCAAATTCATCTTGTGTGGTCATGTCCATAATTCTTATGCCCACTCTGTTTTACAAAGCATTACAAGGAGAAATTTGATGCTGATCACCCTTAGGGCTTAAAGGGTTAAGAGCCAGAACCATAGGTCTAAATGATCGTAACAGCACTGTAAGTACTGGTATTTGTAAAACAGTTGATTGAAACAAAATTCTGTGACTGTTTCAGTATAATGGACTCTTGCTGCTATAAATATAATTTATATTTATAGCAGGAAGAGTCCATTATACTGCAACAGTCACAGAATTTTGTTTCAATCAACTGTCTGTACATTTCAAGAGATTTGGCTGAAAAAGTTTAAAGGAAGAAAACAACTCTGAAGAACATCCTGCTTCTAATTATTAATATTACAACAGCTAGTGCATAAAACATGCAATTAATACAATATTATATTTTTCTACCCACAGTCCCATGTTGCATGTAGATGTTCAACAGTCAGTAATAGTTTAAAAAGAAATAAAGAGCCACTTAGTAGAAATGCTGAATAAAGTCATTATTATTATTATTATTATTATTATTATTATTGAAGGGCTCCATGCTGAATTGCCCCCTGTCCCTGTGGTCCTATATTTGCGATGATTAAGATTTAACCAGGTTTAATTGCTTAATATGCACAATATTACTAATTGCTAACTCATGTGCACTTTTACATACATGGGGAGTGAGGACGGTAGACCTGAATATTTACAATGTCCTGTAGCCCCCCTCATTTCCTTTTTTGAGGGAAGGTTTTTATTTGTTTCTATTAAAAATTTTCAGCTCTGATAAGAGATGACAAGCATTTTGCTCGAGTCCAAGGATCAGCTATTAATAAACCCATCATTCACATTTTTTCCTCTGCTGGAAGGGAACTTGCCACAGTTAAGGTATGTGTTTTCCTTATTGTTGTTTAACTTGTGAACACAAACAAAGAGGAGCGTTGATCAGGCTGAGCCGGCCACTTGTAGGGGTGAAGCTTGGTTCCTCGAAATTCTTGGGTCTCCAAAAAGCTTGGCCCAATCTCAAACTCTTAGAAGCATTTTGGATAGGTCTCCAAGTCTCATTTTCAGGAGATTTTGCTTCTCGGAGTCTTGAACTTCAAACAGGAAAAGAAATAATATTAGATGGACCAGCTGCTGCAGATCAAATTCAAACCAAAAACAAGAAGTATGATACCCAGCGAAAACATATGTTTCGTCCACAGAGGAAAACAAAATAGCCATGGGTGGAGAATGACGAGAAAAAGGGCGTATTGTTTTGCGAAACGTGTCACAAAAAATATCCATGGTTAGCAGACATGTCGTAAGACTGGCTCACATTGCAAATGTGTACTGGGCTAGAGCTAACTCTCAGGCTCTGGGCTAGTAAAGTAGGAAATGCCAGCTAGCCCACAGCTATAAATACTTCCAAAAAATTTTCAAGCCCTGTGTTGTCACACAATGCTCCTCCCCACCTCCCTTTGTGGGGAGGAGCATTGCGTGACAACATCAAAAATTGCTGTGAAACAGGCTAGTCCATCACTGCATGGGAAAAAGACCAAAAACAAGTATGTTCTGCTTTGGTAGGCTATTGATCAAGTGTTCTTTTTTATTCTTAGTGGGATGGAGGCCCCATAGTTCAGATGGGATTGTCCATCACAGAGGACCTACTTTGCGTGGCTGATGATGGTACTGTGATGGTGTATGATATTCATGGCGCAATCAAGAAAACCTTGTCAATGGGACAGGTAAGTGTTAAATCATTTTGCATCATGAAAAGACTGAAAAAGAAGGCATGCTGCATGTATGGTTGGAAAGCACCACAGCTTGACCACTTCTAGTCAACTTGAAGCTCATCTTGACCATTGATTCCTTATCTTATGTCAGTAAATTCTTTAACCACCCCATCCCCAAGTAAATAAATTTTTTGACAAATTAAAATTTAATAATCATTGATTTTTCCATGACCATAAGCAAAATATGTGTTATTTAGAATTATAATCATCAAAACAAAAAGTCATCTATAGACTGGCTATACTTTGTTAGAGGGGTTGTACACCAAATAAAACTTATACACATACATACACTTTCTGTAGTAAACGCAAACCCATTGAATATACCCGTGTACCTTGTATGTTTTACAGTGCAGGTCAAAATTTAAATTCAGGTCAAAAGTTTTTAGCCTTGGTTGATTCTTCATCTCCTGTGTCTCCTGGTCCTAATTATTCATGAATTAGGGCTATGAGACAAAGGAAATCAAGAATCAACCTTGGTTAAAGAATTTTAATCGGAGTATGATTTTGACCTGCAACGTATTTATGTCGTTTTTGCATGTGGCCTTCTCAAATACACAGCAACTTCACAGAATCATTTATTGTCTGATCTGGTGCTTGAGTTTAGTTGGGTATAGGAGACTGAACTGGTAGTTTTTATCTGCATTTTTTGTAGGATGCCAAGGAATCCAAAATTATTCACTGCAAAACCTATAATTTTGCCGGAAGGACTGGCATAGCTATTCTTATTAGTAATTACCACTTTTATGTTGCAAACAACGTGGAAGAGGTCAGGAGTCGACGGTATTATGATCCACCAGGTAACAAAATTCATAAATTTCAGTGTTTCAGAGAGATTAATAATTTTGAAGTTACATGTTCGTCTCACATGTTTTTGTGATCTATAGAACTCAATATCTACCTGTGTTTTACTTTCCTTTCTTGGTGATAAGTTTGAACTGGATGGCGGTTTTCAACTTCAAAAATCATCAAATTTTTTTCAGACTTTCTTCTCTTACATATTTGCAATGATCTATCGTGGGTTAAATGTGTATTTTTCCACATTTTTCTCGAGGAAAACAATAATTGCTCTCGGTCCCAACTGGTTAAAATTCTATCACCTAACTACCTGAGGGCTGTCCCTATCTGAGAAAACTAGAAAGTCTAATCGTTTGCAGATGTCTTTACAAAGGCAGCACTTTCTGCTCAGCGTTACAAGACCCCCGCCTAAGTGTTGATCCGGCCGGTGTGTTGAACCAGCGACCTCTCACTCAGAAGACCGGCGCTTATCCAGCTGAGCTAACCGGACGGCAAAAAATGACCAGTCATGAATCTTAAGAAACATAGGGCCAGTTATTTAAACGTAGTTTAGCCAGTGTTTAACAAAACCGCGTTCTGAGCCATTTTTCAATTTGCCCAACGGTTTTATCTAAACACCGTTTTTGATCATCGTGTTCACGTTTTCCATAAAACGTGAAATTATTTCGCTGTTCACATGGAACTTTGAACGGCTATGCGTCTGAATTTTCGTACGGTTAAGGTAATGTTATACGAGACGATACACCGCAACACAGCGTTGCAATGTTGGAACAACGTTGCAACCATTCGAAACAATATCGCAACAATGTTGCAATGCCGTGTTACGGCTTGCGCTAAAAATCGTTGTTGTAAATCGTCTCGTGTAACATCACATTTAAGGCAGTTTCGAGTGAATGTTTGAATTTTCAGCCGGTCGAAAATTCGCCCGGTTGCCTTTGTGACTTTCTCTTTGCTGTCGCTGTCTCAACATCGTAAACTTCCTCTTGAGTGCCAAGTGTAAGACAGGTTGCTCCTTTTTTACCAATTCTGAATCAGCCACAGGGCGTGGCGAAGCGGCAGTGGGTGCGGGGAGAAGGAAGGAACGGGGGAGAAAAATAGAGAAGTGACTTGAGATGTTGCAATGAGAATTATTGTACATCTCTGGCTTTATCAGTGTCACAACTTTAAATATGAAATAGCGAAGTCTCGATCGTTTATAATGTTGACAAATTCTTCCCCAAACTCACACAAGTGAGTATGCTCACTGGCTACTGTTGTTGTTGAATAGTTTTGATATTATTCAATTTTCAGACTGTTTCATTCAGCGCTGGGGCCACGGTCACTTCCATCATAGAAATGGCCATATCTTACAATTATGAATACCTAGCAATGTTTACAGACACTGGTTTGTTATGGATAGGATCAGCAGATTTACAGGTGGGTATAACACTATTACACTGTTTAGTCCGCAAATTCAGCTATCAGAGGACGAGTTCGAGCAGTTACCGCTGAGTTGACTGGGATTCTTAGAAAATGAGAACAAGTGGCAGTCTAATTCAACTGGTAGTACTACAACCAGTTGCAAAAGTACTTGAGACACTGTACCGTATTTTGGCATAAATGGCCTGCCCATGATTTTGTGCTTGTGATGCCCCCTCCACCCCTTATCAAAGTTGCTAGCAATACAAGACCATACTCAAAACTTGGAGGAACAACTTTGAATTGGAGGGAGGAGGGAGGTCAGTATTATATTTTACAGACCTGTGACCAGGGGCGATTTGAAGCAAGAAAGGTCGTTTTCCCGTGGGAATGTCTCATCATTTTTGTAACTGGTTGTCTGAGTCCTTCATACCCCTATAGCCGTGGTGCACGATTATTAAACGGGGTAAAACGTGGTGCACTCTTAGCACCTAAGGAGGTGGTTATAAAAAACAGTATTTCATTTTTGTCGGTTTGCCTGTTTAAAAATAGCGAGACAAAAACGGCAGTTGTTGGCCCTTTTTTTATGTGGTAATATGCAAGAAATTGGGCTTTTAAAGGAAGCACGTGGCAAAAGATGCCACACCTTCTTAAGTAAGCTGCAACGAAAGGGGTTTTTGGTCCTAAAACGCTACAGAGATGCGAAAAATAATATATTTTCTTCGAACTCGGTTAAAAGATGTTTATTTATGGAAGGAAAGTGACGTAAGATGCCCCGCTAGATCAAGGAGATAGCTTTTTGTTGTTGTTTCCGATAAGTACCTGGACGTGGTTCCTCTTTTATCGCCTGCCATTTACAGGAAAGAAAAGTTACGCTAAAAAGCAGCTGTTGGCGACTTTACTTTACTTAACACAAGTTTGGATTTGTGTTTACTCTTTGGTCGTCTTACAACTTTGTTTCGATTTTGAAGCCCGAGTGTGGCTATAGGCATCAGATAATGAAAATTCACGCGCGTATTTCAGTAACATAGTCGCGAGAGCTCGCATATAACGTGGCTTTGTAGTTCTGTACTTGGTAAGGAAATTTATTTCTTTGCAAAAAGGAAGACACTATCCCCAAGAAAAGCAATTTTCCAGCACAGCAATGTCAGGAATGTACGTGCTTCAACGGTCTACACGGTCTACACGGTCTACCATCATATGAGAGAAATATAATAATATATTCTATTTCTTAGTGTTGCAGAATGGTAGACCGTGGATGATGGTAGACCGTCAGAAAATAGAAATTAAGATAGCACACAACTTTTTCTGCTCTCTAGCTCTAACGGACTTTAATAACCATCTTGTTTTCACCGCAGCAGATGAAAAAAACTGAACGGTTTTACTTTAACAGCGATGTTGAAAAATAAGTCACGCGGTTTACCGATTACATAACGCCATTGCATATCAAATGTCATTGCGTTACAGATACAGGGGTGAAAATGAAGGTTTGGCAGCTTTATTCGCAACTATAGTATCTCTAAATACCAAGAAAAGGAAAATTATGCTGATATTATGCATTCGCGCTTCTCAGAGTTTAATTACAACGCCGAAACTTTAAGCTATGTCACGGTAGATAATGGCGCATGCGTTACAACAAAACTGAGGCAAAATTTACAAGTCACTACATTCTTAAGCGCGTGTTTAGGCAGTTTGCTATCAATGACAATGATGTATAGGCTGGGAAAAGCAACACAAAGTGTCATTCTATTTATTTATGTCACTATAGTCTTCGTTTTGGGAATTTAAGACGTGGAAATCGCTTGTTGAAGTAAACCTTAAATGAGACAACCAGTTGCAAAAGTACTTGAGACACTGTACCGTATTTTGGCATAAATGGCCTGCCCATGATTTTGTGCTTGTGATCCCCCCTCCACCCCTTATCAAAGTTGCTAGCAATACAAGACCATACTCAAAACTTGGAGGAACAACTTTGAATTGGAGGGAGGAGGGAGGTCAGTATTATATTTTACAGACCTGTGACCAGGGGCGATTTGAAGCAAGAAAGGTCGTTTTCCCGTGGGAATGTCTCATCATTTTTGTAACTGGTTGTAGCTTTGATTCTATATCAAGGTTTGAAGAAAGCATGTAAAAAGGATTTGTTTATACTACTTGAATTTGACGTATCTTTTCTTGTGACAAATGAAGACCTGTAAAATTAAAATTTCTGTATCCGCCTTAGTTCTCCATTTTGGGATATCATCATTAATTTAGTTTAGCTACTTCTTCCTCGGAAACCTTGCAAAAAAAATTCCATGTCATCGCAAAGTTGTTCATTTAACTTGCCGACATCTCCACAAAGCAAGTAAGCTTAGCAACCCGGGTCGCTAGGCCAGGCCCTGAAGAGCTCAACTTAACCTGTATTTCGCAGTTCTTTGAATTTTGCAGTTATTTTTGTATTTCTGTCTTCTTTAGAAAGTCTACTGTGAGTACAATACTTCTTGTCCATCAAGACCCAAGCAACTAACCTGGTAAGGAGGGAGCAATAATTATTGTTGTTTCTAGAATGAAGACTCTCATCTTTTATGGCGAATTCTCGCCCGGTTGGCCGGGCCATTCTTTTGAACTCAAACTAAGAGCCATCGGTGTTTTTGTTTCTTCCGCCACCCATCAAGCGACGTGTCGCCGACACGTGTTGCTGCAACTAATCTCCTGACCTGTACACAGGGAGTAATCTATCACCGACACGTGTTGCTGCAACTAATCTACTGACCTGTACACAGGGAGTAATCTGTCGTTGACACGTGTTGCTGCAACTAATCTCCTGACCTGTACACAGGGAGTAATCTGTCGCCGACACGTGTTGCTGCAACTAATCTCCTGACCTGTACACAGGGAGTAATCTATCGTTGACACGTGTTGCTGCAACTAATCTCCTGACCTGTACACAGGGAGTAATCTATCACCGACACGTGTTGCTGCAACTAATCTACTGACCTGTACACAGTGAGTAATCTGTCGTTGACACGTGTTACTGCAACTAATCTCCTGACCTGTACACAGGGAGTAATCTGTCGCCGACACGTGTTGCTGCAACTAATCTCCTGACCTGTACACGGAGTAATCTGTTGTTGACACGTGTTGCTGCAACTAATCTCCTGACCTGTACACGGAGTAATCTGTCGTTGACACGTGTTGCTGCAACTAATCTCCTGACCTGTACACAGGGAGTAATCTGTCGCCGACACGTGTTGCTGCAACTAATCTCCTGACCTGTACACAGGGAGTAATCTGTCGTTGACACGTGTTTATATATTGATCGTCTGATTAAAAACACCCTTGATCTGAACTGACAATTGTTACTATTGTAGATATGAGTAGTTTTGTTTTTTCATTGAGCGCGCTATTGCCATATATTTAACAATTATTGCACAAGTGCGCGTTGGATGTGAGTGGAATAATTGTTAATTAAAAACGCCCACAAAATACCGAGAATTCTTTCCGATTATTTTTGTAAGAACCAACGATCAGCCTGAACCGATTTTCAAATTTTGGTATGTGGCTCATATACCATGATGGCTAAGCCAATCAGAGCTCTTTAACTGCATTATCCAATGGTTCAATTTTAATAAATATGCATATGCTACGGATAGCACACTTTCTTAACATATTTCACATATCAGATGGACAGTGCTGTTCATTTAGTTCAAGAGTTAGATGGCGTAAGAATCATTGGTAATGAGACTCATGAACTGCTTCAGCGAGTTCCAGGTTGGTAAATATGATTACGTTGATTGCGGGCGGTTTCTCCTCCTGGCGAAACCTTCCTAGCAATGAGGAGCAAGGTGAAACGGCGGTATTAGCAGACTACAAGTGAAAGGTTTCAAAATGCTCGCAGATATTCTGTCTTGTTCTCGATTCATAAAGCTATCGAAATATAGCCAAAAATAACAATCCCTGTTGGTAGCCGGGATGTCCTTGAGATTTATTTCTTCTCCACAGACATTTGGTGCTTTTCCAAATTACCTTGTATTAAAACGTGTCGTTACCTGTAGGTGCTTAAAGCGAAATAAACTCTCGAGACTGTTGACTTAAACCTTTAGCTCAGTGTGCTCTTGCTGTGGCTTATGTATGATTTTTCAACTTACTCCCCGGAAGCAGATGGGACTGACTCTACATTCAGTATTCCCCCCTCCAAAGAAAATGGGTACCCTGTTGTCACGAACAAGCAAAAAGTCCTAAACTTTATTCCAGTCGACTTGTTCAATCGGTTTTTTGGTGAGAGTTTTCTAACTGATATGCCGCCACACGCGTTTGTTTCGATGTGCCGGAATCTTAGAGTGTTAAACGCCGTGCGGGACTACATGGTTGGAATTCCACTTACATATGGACAATATCCTTTATCTTAATTCAAGAGTGAACCAAATTTCAGTTGTTGCAAAAGCCTCATCTCACAGGTTACGTTTTGCCCAATTGCAGCGTGTGTTGCAGCAAGTGTACACTATCCTAGCCTCCGTAGCAACACGAAAATTTTTTTTTATTTTTCGGGTTAATTTGCAATTGCTTAAATTGGAATTTCCGCTGCGACGATCATATCTTCATTGAAACTTGCATTTCCGCAGTTCACATCATCTTCAAGTAAGTTATCATTGCTGTAGTCCCAACACTTTCGACGAACTTGCGCGGAAACTTTTTCTACTTAGTCTAACACTATGCCAGATAGCACAGAAACCATATCGGAGAGTGTTTCTGTCCACACAAGAGAACGGTGATTTCGGTGCGATTTATGTAACGGGGCAAAACTGCGGGGTTTAAATTACTTTTTTTTTTACAGGGAACGAACGAGATATGTTCCTTTTCTCTTTTTTGAAACGGATATGTTAAAAGTACGTTAACACAGTTTTCAATTTTGTGGCTCTTACTAAGTTCTTAAAGTGGGCTCCATTTTGCTTTTTTGTCCGCTGAGAGTACTCTGGTTATTTTCAAAAATTATCCAATTTTGACGCCTTGACGATCGTCTTAGACTGGAAAAACTATCAATGAAGACCCTTATCGACAGGTGAGTTTTGTTTTTGTCACGCTGTTTGTTATCTTTTTAAAAAAGGTAAAACGTGCAATTCTCAAGCATTTTTTGAGGGGGAGGGGGAGGGGGCGGTAAAAAAGGTGTATTGCATATAGCTGGAAATTTTTTCATAACAGTGCGCGCTCTCATTGGTTTCTCCGAGGTCACATGACATCTCACAATGAAGCTTTTTCCCGCCAAAATCTGTTAGCGGACAACATTCCAAAATCTATGACGTCATAGGGGAA